TCAATACTTCGATAAATAATGAAAATTTTCGCCTGCGGCGCTTTTTCCATAAAAATCAATACTTCGATACTTTCTTATTTAGATGAAAGTAAAAAGAAGAAGAAGAAGTGTATAGTGTAAACTGAGTATAATAGCGCAAATGAAATGTGAAATAAAGTGGCAATACCAGCGATTTGAGGTTATAATAATTTTAGCAGGCGCAAAGTTTGTTTACTCTGTTTTATTAACGAAATATATAAAATAAAAGTGAATAAATGATTTGGTTTGCATAAAATAATAACCGGAAACGTTTTAGTAGTGTTTTAAAAGTGGAAACTGGTGATTTAGTGCATTTTTGACGTGGTAATTGCTCATAGAAAACAACGAAATTTAACAAAAGTTTTTTGTTTATAACTTTTAAATGGTTAATAATATTAGCTCCCCCCTCCGGATTGTTATTAGGGGGGTCGAAACGCGTCGTTTGGCACCCCTCCCGACTTTTCCGCCCCTTTTTTAGGGGTTGTGACCCCCCCTAGAGAATTACCCATATTTCATCTGTTTTCCCTTAATTTGATAAAATACTTCTTCCTAGTTACGACTTAGTTGCAGCTGCAGCCGAAACTAAATTTTAAGTTGGTACTTAGCCAGAAAAGTCGAAACTAAGGCGACTATGAATAGCTTTAGTTGTGACTTAGAATAGTTTCGACTTAGTTGAGTACTAAATATGACTATGAATATGCGCCAATAATTTTAAGGGCTTCCCAAGAGCACCCATACACTGAGCTAATCCAATGTGTTTAAACCATTAACACAGTCTTCAATTGTTTCTCTACTTAGGGGAAAGTGGTTGAAATACATGGGGTGTAACACTTTCCACACTTCCCTACAAAATTCCAAGAGAGCTGCGCATACTGTTGGTTTGGCCACTCCAAACAAGTTCGCAATGCTACGATATTCCACTGAGGACCCAAGAGCATATAGGGCGATGGCAACTCGTTTCTCCAAGCAGATGGTATTATGGAATCTTGTTTCCTTTCTCTTTAGGTGATCCAGAAAACTGCATAATTTTTTAAAAGCACTTCTATTCAGTCTAAAATTTTATTCCCAATTCACAACTTTCTTGTTTTTATACCGAATTAGCATATCTATAAAGCGTGCACGTCTTCTTATTAATTCATATATGGATGTGTTTATTTCTTCAATTTTCGCATAATTGATGGTCACAGATACATAAAATTTCATCATTAATAAAATAAATTTAATTCGGCGCATTTTGCTTAAATTTCAATGCAAACAATAAACAGATGATTTCGAACTTGGGTAAGTGTACATTTGCTAAATGCGATAGCATGAACGCTCTTCGAAAATATATGTTCGAAAGTGCTAAATGCTGCATTTTAAATGCAGCAAAAACGCTGAATAAGGCGAATAGTAAAATAATGGAATAATGATAAGATACTCAAATAAGAGGATGGATGATATTTACTGCTCGGCCGTAGTTTTTGTCGGTAACAAGTAAAATCGGCTAAAAACGGCTAATTTTTTTTACAAAACGGCTAACAAATCGGCAGCGTGCTAAAACGAAATTTCTCGGGCTGTTTGCTATCGCAACCGGCTAATACCTCGGTTATAATGCACGGGGCGAATCGTAACAAATCGATGCGAATTCGCAAAGATCTATTGATTTTAGATGCTTCTGTGGCAAAAGTGCACTTTAGCGAAAGTAGGCCAAAATTTATGAAAAAAATTCAAGAGGGGTATCAATCGACGCGTTTTAATGCGAAATGGTAGCACCAGTTTTTCTCCATCTTATTTATATTAGCTCCACTAGATCGTTGTGCGGATTTTCTCCATCGGAATATTTCTATTAAATACAGAATTTCGAGAATGTTTACACTTAAAACATCACAAATGTATAACAACTAATAAATACGTGTTAAACTGAGTTCATTTATTCCATTCATTTGCGTGAAATTCATCAAAACATAGTGCGGAAAGTACAAGTGTTTTTTTGCAAATAACTCTTTAATGAATTAAAAATGTTAATTTCCGGTCTCGGATTGTTATTATTGGCCTTAAGAGGCGACGATTGATACCACTCTCGAACTTTTACCGTCCATTTTGAGCTACTTTTGCTAAAGTGCACCACTACCGCTTCTGTTTTACGTTGCGTTCAAGCGCATTATAATCGTTTGAATTCATTGCCCATACAACAGATAATTAAGTGACAGTTCACTCCGTTCCGTTACTTTAATTATAATCGTCATAAATCTAGCCGGAAAACGCTATAAAGCTGATGCCAGATAAAACTTTGTAGCTTTGCGTGACATTTATAACTTTGCCAGCAAATCGCCAGACGCAAAAGGTATGCCACAATGAACACCAAGAAAATAATTTTGTACTGCCTTTTTACTCGTCAAAATTGATGGGGATTTTATATATTTTGCTTTGAAAATATCAGCAATGTAATCAAGTTCAATGTTTATGCATGAAAACTCGAATTTGGACGAAACAAAATATATATTAAACCGGCTGATTGTCAAAGCGCGCAAAAAGATGGGAGTTGGTCATCTTTTCGCTTCGCGCTGCATCTTCAAGGACCTATGTGGCATGCTTTGTGGTTTTCCATACAATTTAACTTTTCTGTCAAAGCGAATCTGTCACGTAAAGCGAAGCAAAAGTTTTATGTGGCATCAGCTTAATGGCAGCACTGTCTACTAGAGCTGTAAAAGTAACGAAAATTCGGATACCCGTATGTATTCGTTACTAATCCAATCAACACCCGTATCTTTCGTATCGTTACTTTACTCGTTACTTTTGAATCATCGCAACCAATCTTGCAGCGTAAGGAAATGTTCGTTTATACATATACATACATGTACACATATACATAAGTATACACGCAGCATAGTTTTGTATCGATTCGAACAATTTGATACAATGAAGCACTTGTACCTCTCACGAATCATGCATGCATGTACGTACATACACACGCAACATACTTAAGTATCGATACGAAAAACAGATTCGTTACCGCACAATATGTGGTGTTGTATTGATTCACGTAGATGGTGCATATACGGAACATGCGAGTAACGAGATTATTATGTGAGTAACGGTTCGGTACTTCGAGTCAGGGGTTGTACTCGTTACTCAATAACGAATACATACGGTTTGCTACAGCTCTACTGTCTACGATGCATCGAATAGCAAACATCGATTCTTACGATGCATCGATATTTTTTCTGCATGTCTAATTAAAGTTAAAATAAATCCGGTTAAAATGGACTCTAGTTTCAATAAATCTTTTCACAAATTACAAAAAGAGCTCGAGGAAGAGAAATGCAATTTAGATGTGCTTAATGATAGCATTCGAAGGATTGTTGGTCGCCACAGAGATCCGGGGTATTGGCTGATTAAAGCATATACATACATATGTACATAAATATGAAATAATTTTAATTAAAAAACATTGATAGAGTTCTTGATCATGGGTTATTAGACGCTGCTGGACCGAAGTATGGAAGTGGACTAAAACATAAGAAAATTCAAGATGACAAATCTGTATTCAAGCGTTTGTCGATTTACGACGAAGAATTGAAACCACGCTTAAGTTCTCGGGTTATACGTGAGTTGCCGACTCGTGAGGAAGTACTGGAAGCGCAAGGAACTGATTTGGAGTCTAGAGCGAGAAATCGCAGAATGTTTGGGTCTTTATTGGGCACTTTGCACAAGTTTTGCCTAGAGGAATCAAGATTAAAAATAAAAGAAGACAAAAAAGCGCAAATTGAGAAAAAATTAGAAGAACAACAACTTCTTGAGCGGGAAACAATAAAAAAAGAGCGTGATTTCCTTTTGACGGACCGAAAAAAAAAGCAGACAAAAATTAGAATTTTAGAATCAAATTTAAATCGTTTAAAAGATTTTGCCACGTTTGAGAGATCAGTAACTAACATTCGATACTGTATTAGAACAAAGACGAAGCCTTTCATTTATTATAGGCCGTACAAACTTTGCAAGAAAACAGAGAGACTTATCAGCGACACTCGGGGTTTTTTGGACTCAGAATTGAGAGACCAGAAAGAGCAGCTTAACTTTGAATTGAAAGAAATGGAACGTGAGGATCTAAATGATATCGATACTCGGGAAAAACACATGAAATTGGAATTTAAACCAAGTAACACGTCATATAAAATTCAAGGTATGCTGCCTGTTTAATTTGAAATGCGTAAAAGAATAGTGAATTTTGTCTTTCAGGAGAAGTGGAGTTTAAAGAAAATAAGTCAAGGAACTTGAATGAGCCCGCGTTAAGCAGCAGTATAATTGTAGTAAAAAAAATGGAATAGCTTGACATTTTTACATAGGAGACATAAATTTACATATATTTATTATGGAACAAGTAAACAATATGAACAATGAACAAATACAAAATAAGGTGGCTACTAACAGTCGTTTATCTATATCTTATGTTGTTGTTGTTGTAGCAGCAGTGCTCAACCCCCCAGATTTGTCATGTATCGTCGTCTTCATCCTCCGACTCTGTAAGCCTGAGGCCGAGAAAGCGGGCTGCGTCGATAGGCGCGGTCCAGAGCACTTCTGGTGTCAGGGTCGTAGGGTTGGAGGTGCACGTGAAGAGGTGCTGGGTGTCGTGGGGACCTTGCCCACATGCAGGGCATGTGTTTGCCACTTGTGTGTTCAGCCGGGAGAGGTAGCTGTTGAGTCGGTGACACCACCCAGAACGGAGTTGTGCTAGGGTGCACCTGGTCTCTCTCGGCAGCTCTATTTCCTCTGAATCTATGGGCGGCGATCGACCGCCCAGGACGATGTTGTCATTGCGCGTACTGAGGCTCGTTCTGACCGCATCGCTGTGTAGGCTGTTGAGCGCCGCTCTGTATGTTGCTGCGTCGAATGGATGGTCTACGTACGGCTCAATGTCTGCCTTCCAGTCGTGCAGGTGTCGTGGGGGCGGTTCGTTACGAAGCAAGGCATTGTTGAGGTGATTCCCTCGGTGACAGCCTACGAGGTATTGCTTCGACAGCATGGTGTTGTGCTCTTTCACCGCCAGCATCTGGCTTTCTTCATGGAGGTGATGCTCGGACGACATGAGATGACAACCTGTAGCCGTACGTAGAGCTGCATTCTGGCAGGTTTGGAGGTTCCTCCATTGGGTGTCGCTTGTCCCCGCCGTCCACACTGGTGCCGCGTAGTTAGCCACTGACCGGCCAATTGCCTTGTAGGTCGCGAGCAGAGTTTCTTTATTGGCTCCCCAGGTGCTGCCGGCTAGCGATTTGAGGACTTTGTTCATGGCTCGGAGTTTGTTGCATGTGGCTGTGGCGTGCGCGGAGAAGGAGAAGAGGCTATCGAACGTCACTCCTAGGATTTTAGGGTGATTAGTCGTCGGTATTTTGGCGCCATCGACGAAGACGTCCAGTTATAGCCCCATCTCCTTGGTCCAGGTTGTAAAAAGTGTGGCGCTGGATTTTGCGGCGGAGATTTGGAGGCTCCTTGCAGTGAAGAAATTGGAAAGATCGGTGAGATAGTCGGTTATTTGTTCGCAAAGTCTGTCTATGTTGGGGCCAGTTGCCATTATTGTGCAGTCATCGGCGTAGCTTACCAAGTTTACTCCTGCTGGCGGCGGAGGGAGTTTGGCCATGTAAAGATTAAACAGTGTCGGGGAGAGTACGCCGCCTTGGGGGACCCCCTGTTTAATTCTACGCGGCTTAGACTTGGCGTTTTGGAATTCGACCGATGACTGACGACCACACAGATAGCTGGTTATCCACCGTTTCGTCCGAGCTGGAAGCGACGAGTCCAGGATGTCTTGGCAGAGGGTCGCGTGATTCACCGTGTCGAAAGCCTTCGACAGGTCCACAGCGACTAGGATCGTCCTATCACAGGGTCGACGTTGGTTCAGACCCTCGCTAATCTGTGTGGTAATGGTGTTTAATGCTGTTGTCGTGCTGTGCATTTTCCGGAATCCATGTTGGTGTTCGGCTAGCTTCAGATGCTTCGTCAGGCTGGGGAGGAGTAGTGCTTCCATGGTTTTTGCCACTGGGGATAGGAGGGAGATGGGTCTGTACGAGTCTCTTGCGTCCGCCTTCATCCCTGGCTTAAGGAGGGGATGATCCTACCCATTTTCCACATCTCGGGGACGATCAGGGTGGACCTTGACAAGTTGAAAGCGGCGGTCATATACTCGACTCCCGCAGGTCCTAGCTTTTTCAGCATCTGCATGGAAATTCCGTCGGGGCCTAACGCCTTCGATGACTTGGCGTGGGTGACAGCTGCCTGCGTCTCTTCGGTGGTGATGCACAGTGGTGTGTCTCGGGGGCGGAGTTTGTGTGCTTTACGTAGCACGCTGCGGCGGGTTTTGTCTCTCTCTGGGTGTGCAATGGATTGCCGGCTAAAGAAGCGCGCGCACGACCGCGGATCCGACGTGGTGGTGGTGCCGAAGGTGAGAGCGACATTGTCCCTACGCTTCGTCGGATTGGAGAGGGACTTGACTGTGGACCACAGTTTGCTGGCTCCGCTTGAGAGATTTGCAGGTTTTTAAATGCTCATTCCATTTGTTCCGCTTGTGTTCGCTGACCAGGTTTCTAATGTCTCTATTGAGATCTCCTATACGGGGATTCCCTGGATTAGCCTGGCGGATTCGATCACGCTCGTCTGCGCGTCCCGCCGCTTCAGTGGGAAATCCTGGGCGGATTTTGGCGATCCGGCCGGCTGGTATGAAGCGAGCGGCTGCTGCGTTGATGATCCTGCGGATATTGCGCTCTGCTACGCGCGCGCATGATGGTAGAGGAAGAGCATTGAATTTGCGATCTGTGAATTCCGTGAAACCGTCCCAGTTCGCCTTCCGTGTGTTCATGAATGTCCGGTTCTCGGATGTTATAAAATCCCTTGGCTGGTCTATGGCGACTACTATGGGCAGGTGGTCTGATGCGAGCGTGAGCACTGGTTGCCATCCAATGCAGTTTATTAGACCCCCGCTTGCTATAGTTATATCTGGCGAGCTATAGCAGTCACCCGCGACCCTGGTGGGGGCATCATCATTCACAGTGCAGAACGTGGAATCGTCAATTTGCTCAGCGAGCATTGTACCCCGCTGGTCATTGCCCAGATTGGAGTGCCAGAGTTCGTGGTGCGCATTGAAGTCGCCTAGCACTACCACTAGCTGAGCAACTGGTGGCGGGTGGTATGTATACATTGACGATCTCCAGCTCCGTATCTCCCGACTTGATGGCCAAGCCTTGACATTCAATGAATTTATCGTTGGTGTCAGTTCGAGGGGTAATGAGCCGGTATTGAACCGCGTTATGCAATATGAAGGCAATGCCGCATCCGGCGCCACGGAAGCGGTCTCTTCGGAGTACGTTGAACTCGTCCTGGCTCTGAAGGCTCGAGCCGGAGTGGAGTTTGGTCTCCTGGATCGCCGCGACTGAGATTTTATGCCTTCTCATGAAACCGGCTATCTCAGCGATCTTTCTTTGTAGTCCGTTGCAATTAAACTGCAACAGCTTGATAGATTGTGGCCTTATAATGGTTACGCGTGGGGTGAGCGGGTACTGGCGCGCTGCCTGTGCTGGTGGTTGTGCATGAGGTGCCTGTAGGGCCTGAAGTGCTGGTCCCCGACCGGGTGGGTTAGCCGCAGGGGTCGCGACCGGTGGTGGGATTGGTGCTTGCGTCAGCGTGTGTGTTGTTGGTGGAGTTGGCACGGGGTGTTGTGGGTGCGGCTGGGCAACAGGCTGCAATGAAGCCAGTACTCCATTCTCGGTGGTGCGTTAGGCCTGAGCAGCGCTTTAGGTGGCACCAATTGTTGCATGCGTTGCACCTAACCGATGTTGTGTTGCGCCTTATCAGGTTGGTGCAAACGCTGCAGAACCATCTGTCCTGGGTGGATGTCCTGTGTTGCGTGCTTGTAGCTGGTCCACTGGTTGATGGTTGGGCGGGTGTTGGTTGTGTGGAGTTACAGGTTTGTTGGTTGTTGCAGCACGATGCAACAAAATTGTTACTCTACTCCCTGTGGTGCCGAAGTCCTGAGCATGCCTTTAGATGGCACCAGGTGTTGCAGCGGTTGCAGCGGTTGCAGCGGAAAGAAGTTGAGGAGTGGTGTATGTTGCGGTGGCAAACACTACAGATCCAGGGCCCGGGATTTTGTTCTATGCCGGCGCGGACCAGTAGTATACGGAGCAGACTTGCCGGTGGGTCATGCTCCCATGGCAAAAAATTTGGGGGGTTGCTGCTGTGGTGATGGTCCTTGGTCGGAGAGAGTCCTCCGAGTCAATCCGGTACGTAGAACCGACCATCTTAGGATTGCGACTCTCCACATGCCGGGCATTGGTTGGGCACATCCTCGTTGATTCTGCTCAAGTAGCCGTTGAGCCTGCTGCAATAGCCAGAGCGAAGTTGGGCTATTGTAGTGCGCGTCTCCCGAGGCAGACAAAGTTCTGTCCCGTCCACGTCCGGTGGTTGTGTGTCTAGAACGGCATTCACAGGGCGGGAGTCTACATAACTTGAGACTGATTCCCTGTAAATGCCGTTCAGGGCCTGTCGGTAGGTTGACGGGTCCAGAGGTTGTTTGATACTTCTGGACTTCGTCTGTCAATTCGTAAAGATGCCTCCTGACGTGCCGTGGCGAGGGCTCTTCCGCGAGCATTATGTTATGCTCCTTTACTGGGAGCATCTGGGCCCCGTCATGAAGGTGGTGTTGAGGCGTCATCAGGAGGCATCCTGTCGCAGTTCATAATGCCGTGTTTTGGCAGGTCTGTAGCTTCATCCACTGCGTCCTGCTAGTCCCCAGCGACCATACGGGCGCTGCGTAGTTTAGAACCGGCCGGCCAATTCCCTTGTATGTTGCCAACAACGTTTCTTTATCTTTGCCCCAAGTGCTGCCGGCCAGCGACTTGAGGACATTGTTGCTGCTCTGTACTTTGTTGCTAATTGCAGTTGTATGCGCCGAGAACGAGAGCAGACTGTCGAAGGTAACTCCGAGGATTTTCGGGTTATTCACCGTCGGTATTGTTACGCCATCGACGTGAATACCCAGTGGCAGTCTGACCTCCTTCGTCCAGGTGGTGAAAACGGTTGCCAAGGATTTCGCAGGGGATAGGGCAAGGCTCCTTGCAGTGAAGAAGCGAGAAAGTTCGGAGAGGTAACCGTTTACTTTCGAGCACAAGTCATCAATTCCATTCCCAGAAGCCATGATCGAACAATCGTCACAATACGAGACTATATTAACACCCTCTGGTGGCTGAGGAAGCTTTGATATGTAATAATTAAACAGTAGCGGGGACAGGACACCACCCTGTGGTACCCCCTGTTTAATTTTACGTGGCTTGCTAGTTTTGTCTCTGAAAATTACTGACGAGTGTCGACCACTCAGGTAATTCGCCGACCACCGTTTGAGTCCCTGGTGGAGTGAGGAGGCCATTATATCTTCTAGTAGCGTTGAATGACTGAC